TGTTACACAATTTTATAGTGGACGCAACAATATAATTGTCATCTTATATTTTCTGGTAATTGTTTCCTATTTTTCCTACCAAACATAGGTACTTGGTGGGATTAACAAAATGTCTGCTGAATATGCTGAGCCAGTTCTTCTGCACTTAGTCGGCATTCAATTCCAATCTACATATCCAGAAAGGCACAGATCCATGCATCAGTTAAAATTCCACAAGTACACTAATTTACAAAATTTCAACACTGTGAAATAACAATGAACGAATATTAAATTCATGCAACAATAATAACTGACGGGAAATATGTCAAAATGTTGAGTAAAAAATGTTGTTTTCATATGTACCAGAAGCAGTACAAGTGCAATACCGGTGTCTCTGTTGAAAACGAGTTGTAATTGAAACACTAAATAATTTTTTACCATCACGTGATTTTTTTTTGCTGCAAATATATTCTTTACCGTTTCTAGCTTGTCATGTTCATCTAAAGTCCATACAAAGATTCATTGTATTAATTTGACATCTATTAATGTGTGCACATTGACTGCTCAGCAGATTAAAAAAAAATTCTATAACTTTTTGGTGCGAAAATAAAGATAAATTCGTATCTATGAAAGTAATCTCTTAATTCCTACTAATTCATAATCATATTATTTAGATGTTTAGGCTACATATATCATTTAAATTTTATTTTTAACATCATTGTATCGAAGATGTGACTGGATTAGAAGTTTGATTAATCATTTATCAATAAGAACAGTTAATTAGTTGGAAACCTAACTATTTCAATACCAATCATTTTCCTTGATGGCCTGTATGATATGAACTGGATAGTGCAAAATAAGGGGGAAAAAAAAGTTAAAACATAATTGGCCATCTAGTTGAATACTGCCTACCAAACAAACCTGATATTTCTAGTCGAGGGCCTAAGGCTAATTTCTTTGGCTAAAACAATTTGAAAACTAACAGAAGTAGCATACCTTAATAGTGAAAGAATTCACCATTCTTTCATCAAATGTGCGGATGTTCACATCAAGAATTTCTAGGGAGAGACCTTCAAGGGCAGAAACGATCTTCACTGCTTGGCCTGGAATACGTGGAGATACCGTCTTGAGTAAAACATTTGATCCTGAGAATTTCACCTTAACATCAGCAATGGCTGATTTTGAGTTGGCCACAAGCTCATTGAAACAGTCATTAATGGAGGAACTAGTGGAAGAAGGTGGAGATGGTTCAACTGGGCTAGCCATGTGACTTTGCAGTTGCAGCTTATAAGGCTTGTAAGAGCTGTTTGACTGAGGGGTTCTTGGGCTTCTAGATATGGTTAATTTGGGACTAAGGGGTGGTTTTAGAGGACTAAGAGGTGAAGGCCTTGGGCTTGAAACAATTCTAGGACTTAAAACTTCATTCAAAGTTTTTCTTTGTTTTTTGGCTTCGAGGGATTGTAGAATTTGCTGCAATTCATTAATGTAATCCACAACTCCCCCAATTATTGATGCTTGGTCACCCTATGCCATAAATGAAAAAAAATTCTTGCATTAAAAATAAATGAAAATTTTTCAGTACAATAAAAATAAAATTATACATGTTACTGCTAGAAATGGCTCGCATAAGTAGCTATATATCCACAACTCAAAAAGAATATTAAAATTGAATACCTACTCGTTCATGTTTGACTAAAGGCAATATGTGATGTTTAGAATGGTATTCGAATTGTTTGTTTGGTAAGGTGGATTCTACTATAGTACTGAAAAATACTATAAAAAAAAAGGAAATAAAATTTTATTCTATTCGGCCTTGTCTAGATACTATTTTTAACCAAATGGAAATGTTCTCTTGAGATCTTGAGATATCATGAGAAATTTGACACCATTTTGCATGTTACTGCTAAAATGACACAAACTAGTAGATTTATAAGTTGAATACCTGCACGTTCATGTTCGACTAAAGACGATATGTGATGTTTAAAATGGATCAAGAATGATTTGTCCAGTGAGGTGAACTCTACTATAGTACTGAGAAATAATAGCTTTGTCTAGCTACTATTTTTTACCAAATGGAAATGTTCTCTGGAGATATAATGAAAAATTAGACACCATTTTCCATGTTACTGCTATAAATGACTCAAAACTAGTATCTATAAATTTATAGTGCTCTTAAGTATGTTAAGTTTCTCATGTAGTTATGTTCGACTAAAGAGATGTTTATTTAGGACAATATAATACTAGAAACTCAATTGACTTTTTGCTGTAAAATATTAGATCATGAGTACTGAAAAGAAAAAGTGAGAAAATGTTTTCTTTTAGTTATCACCAGCTATTATACCCCATTTTATATGTTACTGCTAGAAATGGCATACATAAATAGCCATAAACCCAGTTTTAGTTCAAGTGAAAACACAGTTGGAAAAGATTCCCTAGAAAATATAACAAAATAGGAAGAAATACGTACTCTTTTGACGTAAAAGCAAGGCATCAAAGAACGCAGGATGGACAAATGTTCATTCATCTGCTTCCTCCTGTCCCTCTCCACTGATACGTGACAAATCCTTTGTTTTACTTCTATAATTCCTTCCTGTTTGGTATTCAGTTTCTGTCTCTTGCACTGAAATGAACCCTCAATCTCAGTCTCAAATTCTCTAAAAGCTCTTGAGGACCTTCCTCTTTGATATCCATCTTTTGAGGTTAAATCAGGTCTCTCCAATGCTGTCACTGGATTAAAAATATCAGAAACATCTTCCAGTGCCTGGAGGATGTTGAAAATATCGTCTGAGGAAGACGAAGCAGTACATGCGACGATGGCTTCCCACGCCTCAAAGAAATCAGATGAATAATTCTCACTATCCATTTCTTCACAGATTTCACTCAGAAACTACAAACCCTTATAGAATACTGGAAAAAGATTTGCTTAACTTGTGGAGAGAGAGAGTAATGGTTTGCTTGATAAAGATGAAGAAATAAAACAAGGCCAAAAGGTAGAATTAAATACACAAAGTAACACAAACAAAAAACAAAAAACAAATGATATTTGAGCTACTTTGAAAGGGACTAAACTATCACCATCAATACACTCTCTTTAAGATTTCAGATGCGGGTTTTGGATGTTGGGGAGTGGGGTAGAGAAATATATTAATTTAGAAATCTGAGAGAGTGACAATGGAGTGAAAGAGGCTAAGGCAGAAGAGGAGTATGTGGAGCCATTTATGTTAATCTAGATTCAAATGAATCTTGACTTAATGATTTGCAACTTCTGCAAAGGCGGCATGGGACATTTTGCAATCAACTTATCAAGGTGAAGATAAAGTGAAAACGGTAAGATTGCAAGCTCTAAGATCTGAATTTGATACACTTATAATGAAAGACTCTGAGTCGAGGAGGAATATTTTAATCTTGTTCTCTAAATTGTTAATCAATTGAAAGTAAATGGAGAAGAAATTTCACATCAGAGAATTGTTGAGAAAAATCTTAGGAGCATGATTAGAAATTTTGAGCATGCTGTTGTCGCCAGTCAAGAATCAAAAGACTTGACCAATTTTTCCGTAAATAGTTTGATGGGATCTCTCCAATCTCATGAGCTTAGATTGAACTAACTCGATACTGTTCATTTAGAACAAGCCTTTCAATCTCAAGCTTCTTTTAGGCAAAATTTTAAAGGACGAAGAGGTGGACGTGGAGGTGGTAGAAATTTCGAGTCCCTGAACAACAATAAAGAAAGCAAAGAAGAATCAAGTTCCTTTTTAGGCCGAGGAAGAGGCCATAGCAGAGGTCATGGTAATTTCTCTTTTATACGCCGCTACAATTGCAATCGTTTTGGCCATACCAAAAAGGATTTCAGGTTTAAGAAGAACGATGGTGGCAAAAATAATTCAAATTTCAAGCACGAGGAACAAAATAATGATGAAGATGTTCTTTTTCTGGCCATGTTGAGTAGATTTAGGAATTCACCAAAGAAAAGTCATTGGGACACTAGTAAAAGGATCTTTCGTT